GGTCCCTTAAAAGGAATAATTTCACCATAAAACTCATTTCCTTGCTCGCCAAAGTAATAAACTGCTGGCGCCCGCACTGATTGAAAAACTACCACCTTATCATGACCATTAATAATGAAATTACCTTGCGGGTTCATTTTCGGCAAATGACAGAAATTTATCTGTTGATCTTGTTCGCAATGAAACTTAATAATTAAATTATTTTCCTCCTTCTCTAATATTTCCAGTACTATTTTTAAGTTTTCTTTGGTCTCTTTTATCTCTCATTTCTGCCCTGTTTTTTCCTTACAGGTGAACTTTTTGATTTTGAAACTTTCTTCTACCCACTGATTAATGGTTTTTTCCAGATCATTGTCTAGAAGTTGAATTTGCATTTTCTGACAATCTCAAGAAATTTTCCAGTTAAAAGCAACTAAGTGATTTCAAGTTTGAGAATCAGCCCGCGCCTGCTCTTCAGTTATTTCAGGTTCTTGACAGACAAATTTCTCAACGCTTATTTTAACATTGTTATTATAATCACTGAACTCGGCCGGAAAATAAAAAGACAGCAACTGTGGTAATCTTTCATAGAGAAACTTTAAATAAGATAATTTTTGTTCTTGGGCGTAATCTCGTTCTGGCAAAGGTTGAAAAAGTGGCGAACGATTAGCAGCCAAATACTCACGACGTTGATTTTTCCCCGAATTAATTATTCGATATGGCATTAATTAAAATTATTTAATTTCAACTTTCGCTCCTTTTTCTTCTAATCGCTTTTTAATTACTTCTGCCTTATCCCGAGCAATATTCTCTAAGATAATTTTGTCTTCTTTCTCAACCAGATTCTTGGCTTGAACCGGACCGATATCTTCATTTTTTTCTTCCTTAACAATACTTACGATTTCTTTATAGATTTGAAATTTGTTTGCCCCTATCTCTACTAATTTTAGGGAAACATTACCACCTTTTTCTTCAGCCTTTTCACCAGTTGATGCAGTAGTTGCTTGCATTACAACATCTTCTTTAATGTTATATTTTTCTTTCAAACTGTCTATTAGTTCACTTACCTTTCCTAGGTTTAATTTATCAATTTTTTCAATAATTTCGTTTATTTCTTGGTGATTTTTTATTTCTGTCATATTTTATTATTATTTTTGTGATTTAATTTTTTCTAAGATATTAACGAGCCTTCTCGTGGGAAAATTAAGATAATAACATAAAGTATTTAATAGTACTTCTTTGCTTGGCAAATTAGCCCATTTTTCGATCATAACGTTTTCTACTAACTGTTGCTCATAGATACCTCCCTGAAATCTTTTGATTCCAGAATGTTTTTTGTTGAAATGAGCAAGAATATTTAATGGCTTATACTCGTCTTCCTGACAAAAAATAAAGGCATTGGCTTGTTTCAATTGTAAAGAATAATTAGCGAGGGCTTTTTCCATTAAACTATTTTTATAGACTTTTCAATAACTACCGACTGCTTTTAACTCTTTTTTTAGACGAAAAATTTCCCTATTTTCGGTCTGGTGAAAGTTATAAAAAATGACTGCTTTGGCGTTTTGGAAGTCACTTTGAATAACTTGGACAATAGCTTGTTTTTGACTGGTGGCAGGCATATATTATTATTTTATAGAAAGTTTGTTGGTTG